CTAGACTGCCTTAGGGATGCAACACTGGGTCACATGCCAATGATGATGTCATCAGTCTGCTTTTAATGATGTCATCAGTTGGGGTATAAACTCACCGCCCAGGACGTGAAACAACACTGTGGAGCTCTTCTCTGATTGGATGTCTGCGGTCTCCATCTGGGCTACCTGAGGTGGACGGGGCTTTGTCTTCAGCTGTGGACCAGAAATGTGATGTCACCAATGAATGTTAATGGGTTTATTTTTATAAATATTGTAAAATGCATTGAAATTTATCTTCTCTAATGAGTTTTTCAGTTTTAGCCACCTTCTGTTTCAGATTTTCAGCTCATTGTGTCCAAATAAATGTAAAGAATCGCTCAGGCAGGTTCGGCCTGGTTCTGCTGGTTCTGGTTTACCTTTCACCTGCCAGCAAGTTTTCCCTGATTTTGACCCCTGGTCAGGAGAAACCTGCCTTTTGATGACAGAGTTCACAACCTGAGTTCACATTTTGTCATTAACTGAAAACTAAAGATTTTAGGAAACAAAATGAAGCAACATTCTGTGTAAAAACAGCATTATCAGATTGATCCTTGGGTTTCTTTACTTTAAAACTTCCCATTAGAACTGATGCTTTAAGGTCAATTATGATTCTGTACAGGTGTTGCTGACGAGACAGAGCAAACGTATTTCAAAAAATTACCTGATTTCTTTGTTTTGAATGGAAAAAAGATTTAAAACCCATTTTAAGAACATAAATCAGTGGTTATAAGTGGAAACAAACGCTGTTAGCTACCAGCAGTTAGCCACCAACAGTTAGCCACCAACAGTTAGCCGCCAGTCAAAGAGCAGCTTTTCCCTCTGATTACCTGCAGCTCACTCTGCCTGACTACCTGGACGTTTGACCAGGTGGGAAATTGTCCTGGTTGAGGGTCCAGGTGATTCCACCTGGTCTGCAGGTGAACAACATCAACAAACGCCTGAGCTCATCGCGTCTACAGGTAAGTCCTGTTCTCACCTGAGGAAGACCAGTCTTCCTTCTTCTTCAGTTCAGAGCCAGGTTGGGGATCAGAGGATTTCTTCTTCTCTTGCTGGTTTCCCATCATTGTGTTATGAAGCCCTCCATTCTGTGACATCATCAGTGATGTCACAGCTAGCGAGGTTAAAGAGGAAGGATGTTTATGGTCATGATGGTGGCAGGTAGGCGGCTGGGGCAACGGCGTGCCCACCGGGTACAAGGCATAGGGGTTGGCAGGTGTTTCGACAGTGGGCGGGGCTTGTGAAGCTGTCACCTGGTTTGTACCTGTTTTATCAACTCTGCTGAGAGCCACACCCCCTCCCTCACCTGAGTCAGCAGGTGAGACGCAGCCGATATAAGAGTCTTTGAGCACCTCCGTCCGCACCAGGAGGAGGGGTCTGTTCAGGCCCCGCCCCCTCACCTTGGCTACAGGTGGACGCAGAGTGAGGTGGCAGTCCAGCTGGGCTCCAGACATCGCCACCGTCATTGCGGGTCTTCCTCTGACGTTGAGCTGGTTCAGGTCCGGTTTGGACACCTGGACACCTGTCCCCTGCTGTCGCTCCAGGTATCGAGACTCTGCCTCCGTCTCTGTCTCATCCTCGAACCGTAGGCGGCGAGTTGGCGACGCCGACCGGCGCCACCTGGTGGACGGGTTGCTCAGGTGTCCTGGCAGCGAGGCCCCGCCCACCGACCTGCAGACAGAGGACAGGTAGAGCAGTGAGAGGCTGGCGAGGAGTAACCGGTTTTGGTTCCAGTGGTTCTGGTCAAGTGAAGTTTATTTGTGTAACAAGGCAGTTCAGCTGCTTTACATCATAAAAACACAGAAATACAGACGTAGAACGCAGTGAATAACTGAAGCGTTACATTTTCACATATAGATTGATGGGTATCGAT